TAGATACCATAATATACACTTATGGTTGGAGCAGTTCTTGGTCCAGTGCCCCCAGCAGACATTGCAAAGGATCCTGGGGAACAGTATATTGCAATACTAGAGAAATAAACTGGAGAACCTCACTCCAATATCTATGTAACTTGGGGCAGCGACAGAGCATATGAATGAAATCGCCCTGTTGGACCCTACACCTTGGACAATCAGGTGAATCATGCCTGCCCCACCAGTACAGTTGTACAGGGGTCCTATACCCTTGATGGAGAATAAACAATTGAGACAATTTATGAAGGGAGAAAGAGAAATTACCGGAACAGATTCCAGGGCAGCATCCCAGACATCTCCAGCAAACTCTCCAACATCCCAGGACCACTGCACCCTACTCTGGAGACTAGCTTGATCCTGTACTGTGGACAGCTAGGAGTATACACAAAAAATTATGCCTTTCTTATGGGTTGCCTGAGTTACATCCTTAAGAAAAATTGAGTGTGTCAATGTGAGATTAGAGAGCAAAGACTGAGCCTGTACCGCATGGCATAGCTGAAGGTATTGATAAAAATGCTTATGTGTAAATGTAAATTTCATTTGCAGTTGTGAAAAAGACTTTAGGATTACCCCCAAATACAGCCAAGATATGAATTTCAGGCCACGATCCCTCCAGTTGTGAAAACCCTCCAGTTTAGCCAGTTCTATATATTGCAGATTGTTTCACAAGAGAGTACAGGAAAAAAATCCGGTAATATGAAAGGATGCTTTTACCATACTCCAGACGCACTTCAAGAGGTCCGTGGTTGGAGCCATGGATGGAAGTACCAGTAGAGCCATCTCAAGATGAGAAAGAGCCAAAATGGTGGAATCAGGAAAGGAAATCAAACTTATAATGGGATCAGTATTATCAGACGAATCCCAGCAAACAAGTTGCTGCAATTAGGCCGCCAGAAAATAAAGTCTAGGCTCAGGAACCGCCAACCCCCCCGACTCCTTACCATATTGCAACGTGGACAATTTTATCCTAGCCACCTATTTTTTCTCTATGCGATGGGACCATTTCTTAGGAATCCATATGGGAGAATTATGAAAGATATAAAGAAGTTGCTTTGCCCAGATCATTTTAATTAAATTGACTTTACCCACCACTGACAGAGGGAGTTTGCACCAACTGTTACACTTCAATTTTTGCTGCCGGAGTAGAGGTAAAAGATTAAGAGAAATATACTGTTTAGGATCAGAAGAGACTACCACCCCCAAATACTTAAATGTAGACACTACTTAGATGTGTTGTGCACAGACTGGGAGGGAGAGATCTACAGAATCCAAGGTCATCAACACCGATTTATGCCAATTAATTTTAAAGCCGGAAAATCTACCAACACATTCAATAAGGGACATACTAGCATCTAAGTATGATAGTATCGCCAAAATATAACAGTGTGTCATCCGCATAAAGGGATATCTTTTCCAGGAGGACACCCCTTGTAAAACCGACCATGTCCGGAGGCTGTCGCACCAAAATTGCCAAAAGTTCTAACGCCAAAGTGAACAAAAGGGGTGAGAGAGGGCAGCCCTGTCTCGTCCCCCTCTGCAGTTTGAATGAATCTGACAAATCCCCATTACCCGGATTCGGGCACTAGGGGCCGCATAGATAAGAAGCACCCAACTAATGAACTTGGAACGAAAGTCAAATCTAGACAATACTTCCCATAGATAAGGCCATTCCACACTATCAAATGCCTTGGCCGCGTCAAAGATAAAATTGCCCTCCCCCCAGGATTGTGCACCGGAATTTGAAAATTCAAAAAAAGTCTGCAAATAGTATTAGCCGTCACTCTAGAAGGAATAAACCCCGACTGATCTTTATGTACAATATTACCAATAATCTGCGCCAATCTAGTAGCCAGGCCAACAATTTAGCATCCGTATTCAGAAGGGGAATAGGTCAGTAGGAGTCAAGTTGTAATCTATCTTTTTCAGACTTCAATAGTACTATGATAACAGCTTCATTCATGGAGGGGGGCAAACCATTTCCATCTATGGTGGCATTCAGGGCATGGAGCAATGCCGGGAGGAGTTGTTCACCGTATCTATTATAAATTTCGAATGGCAATCTGTCTGAACCCAGAGATTTATTACTGGGGGTGCCTGCCAAAGCTTCAGACGGCTCCTCAACAGTAATTGGAATCTCCAGTTCTCTCTGGTCAGTCTCCGATAAAACAGGAAAAGAGCAGGTGTCTAGAAACTGCAAAATCTCAGAATGGGTGGCTACAGTTTTAGAAGCATACACATCGTCCTAAAAGTGATGAAAAACTCTCAAGTTTTCCACATGACTCGTGCAAATCATTCTATCAGCATCCTCAATCCTGTCTATAGTGGACAAGAAGGTACCCCGTGATTTCCCCCTCCTCGAAATATTTTTTGTTGCAAAAAATAGCACTGCTTATCAGCCACTTGAGTAAGTACTGATTAATAAAAGGACTGGGCCTCTTTACAGGAGGTGCAATTACAGGGGCTTGGGTCTTGGATCATCTGAATCTCCCGCTGTTGAACATCTAACCGTACCTTCTCCTCCCACTACCTGGATCTACGCTTAACCGCTGAAATCTCCCAGATAACCAAGCCCCACAGGAAGACCTTCAGCACATCCCAAACCATTCCTGGTGGGGAAAGGCCTTCATTCCACTGCAGAAAGTCTGACAACTCCCCCGGAATCAATTCAGACTCCGGAAGCAGCGTCAACCAAAATGGGTTCACCTTCCACAGCGGACAAGAGCGAGTATATAACACACCTGTACCTTGACCCAGAAAGGGGCATGGTCAGACAGAGCCCTGGGTTCATACGCAGCATCAAACACATATAGCAGGATAATCGAGTTTCCAAGGCCCAAATCTATGCATGCATGAGAGACCATCATGAGTAGCAGAGAAACATGAATAACATTTTGCTGCCGGATACTTCACTCACCACACATCCTGGAGGCCCAATTCCACCAGTAAATTAGCAAATGGGGTAGGCTGAGAGGATAATTGTCTACCCCTACTGCCCAAGGGCAATCTATCCAAACTAGGGAGTAAGCAATTATTATAATCACTCAATGCCAATAGGGGAACATCAGGATGATTGGTCATAAATTGAGCTAGGTGTTTATTAACCTCTGAAAAGTAGGGAGGAGGAATATATACCGCAGCCACTATGCAGCGAAACCCATTCAAAGTACACAGCAGGAAAATATACCTGCCCTCCACATCAATCCACTCCTCCACATGAACAAATTGAACAGAGTTAGAGATGAGGATACACACACCTCTAGAAAACGTGGAGTGGAAGGAATGCTATTGTATGGGAAATAAACGAGAGCGGAGGGTACCGACAGATCGTCAAATTTCAAATGGCTTTCCTGCAAACATACTACAAACAGTTTTAAATAAGTACACGGCAGACAGCAACCTATTTGGTTTTATCACCCAGGCTCCTTACATTCCAGGATAAAAACATTAATTCTTTATGGGAGACAGACATAATACATATGGAGAAAATAGAAAGGATAACTCAGTCATGGACAAATATAACGCCCTCTGAGGGGAGCAGTGAATGGATAGGTAGTAGGAGGGACCCAGGTCACATGGGTCAGGTTAACCAGAGGAGGACAGCCGCAGGAAGCAGGGAAGATAGACCCAGCAACATGCACTCGACTTAACACAGACACCCCAGGTGAACCATAAACAAAACAAGGGAGAGTACTGAAATTATTGCCAACATGTAGGCCAACAGAGCCATAATGATATTAACTGAAAACACTGGCAGGAGGGCAAAAGGTCCCCTCAGGACCAGAAACAGGTTGGGGTTTACACAATGTCTCATGGACAAGCACACAGCAGTTAAATAAAAAGAAAGCATAAGAGGGGAGGAAATGTGAGAGCAATACCCCGCTGTTCTGCTAAGCTGAGTTTAAGGCACTAAGGATCAACCAGGTCCCCAAGGTCAAGTTCCAGGAAAGTTTTCCAGGCAATGTTCCGCTCCATCCAGCCACTGCAAGGCTGCATTAGGATTATCAAACAAGTGAGAAGCGTCATCCGCAAGCACTAGAAGTTTAGCCAGATATAGCATGGCATATTGAAGGCCCAATGTCGTTTCTTGACATCCAGAATTTTGTGCGTTGCATTTGAACTTACACGGAAAAGTCTGGAAATAAGGATACTTCAGCATTATCAACTGACAGGGCACCCTTGCCTCTGGCCCTGGAGAGAATGGTATCTCTGTCTCGATAATTGAGGAATCTGAACAAAAAGGGCCGAGGAGGAGCGCCTACCAGAGGAGCATGTGCTGGGACTCTGTGTGCACATTCTACTGCAAACATGGGGAGAATGCATCACTGCCAAAGGTAGAGGTCAGCCAGGCTTCAATAAAGGCTACACGATTTTGACCCTCTTCCTGCTCCGGGATACCCACTGTGCGCACATTGTTGCGGTATAACCGATTTTCCAAATCTTCCAATCTAGAGGCATTAGTAGAAGCGATCGATTGCACATATCACACATCCCTATGTAATGGTTGTCAATCATCTTCCAGGGTACTCACTCTCCCTTCCAAGCCTGCAGTGCGATCCCACAGTTTCTGCATATCTTGACGCACCAGGGTCAATTCCATCCTCGGTAAGATGTGCTACAGATGAGATACATGTAGTGACTGCGGAGAGAATCTCTCTAAGGGTGGGTTCAGGATGATCATCAATGGAAACAACAGGCTGTGTCCCATGAGACTGGGATGATGGGATACTCACTGCAGGACTGCAGGATGGGATCTCTGTCTGTCAGTGCAAAAGGGATCTGAGTACAGCCTGTACAGTCTAAGTCCGAATCAGTAGCGGAGTCCAAAAGTTGTTTCTTGGAAGTTTCCATGGTGAGCGGCCTAGCAAAGAACTTTTGAGCAGCCTCCCTCTGCTTCTCCTTGGATGCACAGATCGGGGTACCACCATCTTGCCCAGCCGACTCAGGCAAGGCCCAAATTTCTTTCCCCCTTTTAGCCATCTCAGATCAGGATAATCGGGGGTACCAAGTGACAGAAGGGAGGTCAGAGCACAACCTGGTGACCAAGGGCGGACTGACAACTCATGGGGCCCCTGGGCAATAGGGGATCATGGGCCCCTGTGTCCTTGCCCAAACTCAAAAAAGCCTATGAAAAAGGTACCAGGGGCATCTCTTGGGGCCCCTTACTGACCCAGGGCCCTCGGGCAGTGCCCGAGTTTCCAAATGGTCAGTCCGCCCCTGCTGGTGACCCAAGATGCCGTTTTAGCCGGTGAACAAGGTGCCAATCAGGATAAATGAGAGGATGCAGAGCGGAGCTCACCGAGCACACATCCTACTACATGCAAAGCGTACCACGCCCATTTAAGGGAACTATGTTACAGATATTGGAAACCAACCTTTGTCCCAGCAATGAAAAAGTGGAGTTCTGGTTTAGCCCACCTACAACATTTACTATGTCATGACTATATATAAGTTAAAAGGCAGTGCTGCCCTATATGTGCAGCATACCACTGCATACTTTTGTGCAACAGTGGTGTACACCGAAGTACCCCCTAGTTTTCCCCACATTTTCCATAACTGCCACTAAAAAAAGTAGATCCTAGACCTAATCATCACTTTATCACTGCAAACATTTAAACAATGGGTTCCTTGCAGAATTAGACCACCATCCCACACACTGACCTTGCAGTGGTGGTGATGGTGACAGGGAGTTAGCATTATCTGGACATGATTCCCCGTTGCAGAACATCTTTTTTTTTGGCCTCAACTGCATTCCTAGGCTCTTCTTACAATTTTGAAGGAGGGCATGGTTAGCATAATGGCAAAGGGTGGACAATGACGTCTTGTTCAAGGAAACCAAGGAAAGAGAACAGAAAATAATAGCACATGCAAAACAGTTTTATATCAGATCAATTAACTATTTTGTCTTATTGAAACCATCAAATAAAAAGTAGTTATTTAGTATTGAATTGGAAAAATAAATGGGTTAAAGGGCCATTTCTGAAGTACACAGAGACACAGAAAAAAATGGACAGTGGACCTTGTTATCCAAGAGGTGCAGAGGCTAAGCACAGACTAGCCTCTGCACCTCCATTGAAGAACCCCACAAAGAGCAACTGATTTTACTAGAATACTTACCAGGTTACGGCCCTCAGGCACTCAGCAGCTGGCAGGTGAATCAAACCAGAGAGTGGTACAAAGCCAACAGTAACAGGAAAAAGGTCAAGGCAGCTGGTAAACAAGTGCTGTCTAATACAAAATGTAGTCAGTAAATGGAGAAACAGGAAAAAAGGAAATACCATGGAGTAACCTGGAAATTAACCTAATGCTGGTGGGAAAGTATCTTGTAGTTTCTATGTAAACATGCAGGTGAGTTCTTTTGATGTCTATACCTCCCAGTTTTATAAGCAAGCATTATGTAGAAAGCAAGTAGAGACCACTTGCAATATCATGCTTTATCATGCATATATTGCAGCAGATATGGTTTCACATAAGCTAGAACAGTATTGATTTAAAGGTCCTTGTATGGGCACAATTGTTTAGGTTATAATGTTCTGTCCCACTCTCCAACAATCTCTTGACTGCAAATCACCCTGTCACATGCCTTCCCAAAGGAAAAAAATAAGATGCAGTGCTGATACACTTTTCCAAGGAATATTACAGTGATTTACAAAAAAAATAGCTTTCACAAATTGAAACCAGTAACAATTAGGAAATGCGCCCTTGTGAAAATAACTATGCAGCTGCTTAGCAGTGAAATTAATGTAGACTTATGGAAAAGCTATAGAAAAAAGTAAATTGCATACAGCAATGTAGTACAGCAATTGTGTATCAAAAACAATTAAATAATACAGTGAACTGTCAACATCACCTAACAAATTATGTTCTTAGACAAAAAACAATATATGGTAAACATTAAGGTGACAGTCCCATGAAGATGTAATCCCGTAGACCAAAAAATGTGCTCTTTCACCGTGTGCAGACAATAAGTGAATTGCTCACTCACCAGAAAAAATTGACCCAGGTTAAAGTGGTCAAGTGTGCTTTGTTATCATATTGATGACCAGCAACAGGCTCTCCTGGATCAGACCTCACGGTCTCCTAGTAAGGGATATAGATCCAAGCAATCAAAGATAACTGCCCCCAGTTGGATGGTCATAAAACTGGATATGCCAATAGTAGATGGATTCATAACCTCAGTCTCTCCTCAAAATAAAGGTGATGCCCCAAGCAAATCCTTCCAGAACCTTCATACATCAGTGTTGCATCTGGCAAGCTCTTAATTTCTATACTGGTAAGCTGGGAGTGCTTCTTTGATCTTTTCAGCTGCTCTATCTGGAGATCTGCAAGTTTTACCTTTTGCTGAGCATTAACCTCCGTAGCGGTATTCCCGAGTGTAGCTCGGGGTAGAGTTTCAGTACCAAAAGCGGTAACCCCGAGCTACACTCGAGCTTACCATGCAGCGTTGCATAGGGAGTCCCTGCAGCGCTCACCTTGTCCTTCGCTCCCGCGATGCGTCCCCTGCAGCATCCCCGGCCATCTCCTCCGGCCGATGCCGGCATCCGGCTTCCTGTTCCGGGTCCCAGTGACGTCGGTACATACGGGCGCCGGAACCGGCAACAAATTTGAAAATTTTTAAAAAATTTCATTTTTTAAAAAATTATTATTACATAGTAAAACATTGCTGTTTCAATGCATTTCACATCCATTTTGTCCCTACTGCTTTGTCCTGTCCCCTGCCTGTATTTTGACTGTTCTTTCTGCCTGGAGACTTAGAAAAGTCCATGGTGTCCAAAAAGCATCCCTTTATGTCAAAATTGGTTTTAGACCAGCTAGAGAACAGTGATAGTAAATTAGAACCACTTGCAGAATCGAGTGATAATGATCCGTGGGGAAATTCGTCATCAGACACTGAAAACGATTCTGCGACTTTGCTCAGCGATGTGCGAACTTGCTATATTTCAAATTTCAGTGTTTTTGGTTTGATTATATTATTTAATTAAATGTATTATTATTATTTTTTATGATTATTTATTAAATTATAATTTATGATTTCGTGTTTCAAGTTTTATCATATCTGGAATGTTTACTAGACTCTTGTTCGGACAGATTTCAGTGAGTTATTCCTAAATTACAGGCCTAAAATAAAAAAAATACATATTTTCATGCAAAAAAATGGTACCGCTTTCAGCACAAAAAATCTGAAATAATCAGACCACTAGGGAGGTTAATCACCTTGGCCTGAAGTTCTGTAAAGGCCTAGAGCTGAATGATTCATACTCTGAATGATCTAAGATTGTTAATTGTGTACCACACGGTTCAGTGTTGGGACCCTTACTTTTTAATATATTTATAAATGATATAGGGTCTTGGATTAAAAATACAGTTTCAGTATTTGCAGATGACATCAAGCTTTGCAGTGGAATAATGTCCTTACAGGATGTCTCCAACTTACTTGCACTTGGGGGCTAAGAATATGCATGCATCATACATACAAGGGGGAGTACAACTGGGGAATGGTGGAGAAGGATCTGGTAGAACATAAGCTTAATAATGGCATGCAGTGCCAAGCTTTGGTTTCTAAAGCGAGCAAAATCCTCTTGTATAAAAAGAGGTATAGACTCCAGAGAGAGAAAGATATTATATTTTACTCCTGTACAAATCATTAGTAACGCCTAATCTGAAATATGCAGTTCAATTTTGGGCACCAATTCACAAAAAGAACAGTGCAGAGAAAGACAGCCAGACTGATAAGAGGCATGGAGGAGCTCAGCTATGAGGAAAGATTAGAGGAACTGAATTTTTTCTCTCTTGAGAAGAGGAGATTAAGGGGGGATATGATGAACATGTATAAATACATCAGTGGTTCATATAGTGAACTCAGTGTAGAGTTATTCACCCTGAGGCCATCACAGAGGACAAGGGGGCACTCTGCGCCTGGAGGAAAAGAGATTTAATCTCCAAATATGGAAAGGTTTCTTCAAGTAAGAGCTTGTGAAAATTGGAAGACTCCCTCAAGAGTTGGTTCTGGACAGCTCAGTGGATTGCTTTAAAAAAAAGGCCTGGATTCTTTCCTAGATACACAGAATATAACTGGATACTAAGATTTATAGGTAAAGTTGATCCAGGGAATATCCAATTGCCTCTAGGAAGGAATTTTTCCCCTGCAGGAGCAAAATGGATCATGCTTTTCTGGGTTTTTTGCCTTCCTCTGGATCAATTGTGGGTATAGGATTATAACTTTTTTTTATGGTTGAACTGGATGGACTTTAATCTTTTTTCAGCCAAATTAACTATATACACTGGGTCAATGGGTTTTTTTCCTTCGGGCCAGCTGGTGGCAGGCATTGTTACTGACAAAAGATTTACAATGATGGGCTTTTTGTGGAATTTATCAAACATTTAGATGTCTTTATCTTTTGGCTACACTTTTTTTTATGAATGAGTAGGGGTACTATGTACCTCTTACTTTTTTATGTAGGTGGTGTCAGCATCTGAGGACCCCCTAATTTTTAAAGGGGGCTTCCAATTTCCAATTAGGACCTCTCCCAGAGACCCACACAACCACCTGCCAGGGGCGTGGGAAAGAGACCCTTGATCCCAGCAACACGGGGTTACTTCATCCGGGGGTTCCCCTTGGTAAGGCACCACCCAATGTTGAGACAAAATGGAGTACAATAAGAAAATACAGAATAGAACACATGTTTTAATGTTTTATAAATCATAACCTACACAGACAGGTAGAAAAGTTAGATTCAGGCCTTTGGTGAAACCCTTCATGTTTTTCCAACTTAAAAGCAATGCTTTGGCAGCTTTTCCTGTCATTGATCTGAGGATCAGAAGTGCATTGAACATGAAAGGGGATCCTGCCACTATGTAAAAATGTGATCAGGAGGTTCTGTCACAGCACCTCTTCTAAGTCCTGCATCTTTTTATTTGCAGATAATTAATAAGATTTTTCTTTACTAGCCTCGTATTCAGAACCTCTGCCCCTCCTTTAATGCTTGCTTGACATTATTAATATAGCGG